ATTGAACTTTCCAAAAATTCATTGTTAAAATTATTCTGTTTAAAAAAAAAAAAAGTAAAATTGTGTGGCGTAGTTTTAAACGCGAAATTTTCGGCTTTTGAATAATTGACAGCCATCAGGCATGTATATACAGAGTGAGTGGAGTGTCGCTTGATTGGAACCGGTTCGACTAACCACGCACAAATCCTATACGAACATACGGTACGTCGTCCTTTCGTGCCGATGCTTGTAGGCTATATGTAAACGTATATGTAAATTTTAGCAGCCTACGACAAATCGACTCTCCTATTTCGAGAAGCAGAACAGAGAATTTTGTTCTCCCCCCGATGTCATTGTCAGTTAACATTCTCTAATTTTAATCAGACCATAAGGATCATAGCTCTATATATATGCGAAATGTGTGTAACTGTTTCCAATTATCCTTTTGGAACATTTTCAAGTCTAGACTGCACCGTTAAATATCTAATAATATTTGGCTTCTCTGTAGACTCTCAATAACTTGATAACGTTAAGGTTATACCTTCTCTCACTCTCTCCTTCATTAATAAAGCAGTCTGAAAATTATTCTTCAAAATTAACATTGTAATTTTGATGTGAATTTTAAATTTGGATCCGTTCTTGAAAATTTTATCGGATATTTTATTTTTAGATTTTAATATTATTGGGGTTATTAGAGATGATTCGTTTTCTTCGATAAACGGAGAGAAAATTGTCTCAATTTGATTTACTAAAATTCACTGAATTTAATTATTTACTAAAAGCTACTATTTCTGTTGTTTTAGAATTTCCACTACTTTAAATTCGCTAATACTAGAAATCAAAAAACTATTCTCAAAAATTATAATCAAATTCTTTATCCTATTCAATTATTTTCATAAAATATTCGAAATTCAATTATTTCCAAAATTCAGTATTCTCATAAAATTTCGCAAAAGAATTCAATTATTCAAAAAAATATAACAAAATTCATCCAAAATCAATTATTTTCATAAATAATAAAATTTTCACCGGATTTCACTTAATCTAGAAAAACATTTTCAAAAAAATCAATTATCAAACAAAATTTTATTTCAATTCTTCATAATAATTCAATTACTTTTACTAATAATAACATTTTTCATGGAAATTCAATTTTTTAAAACATTTTTGATAAAATTCTACGGATGAATTCAATTATTATCATAAATAATAAAACTCATCGCTGAATTTCAATTATTTTTAATACAATTTTACAGGAATTGCTGAAAAAATGTAATTATTCTTAAAAATTTTATTTCAATTCCTCGATGAAATCAATTATTTAAAAAATTGTTTTTTTTAAATTCTTTGGAAGAATTCAATTATTTACAGAAATATTAGAAGTTTGCCCAGGAATTCAATTATTTTCAAATATTTCAAAAAAATTGTTCGAAAAAAATCAATTGTATTAATTACAATTTTAATTAAATTTTTTTGAAATAATTCAATTATTCTTTTAGATTTAAATAAAATTCTTTCTAAGAATTCAATTAGTTACGTAAATAATTCTTCGAAAGAATTCGATTATTAAAGATAAAGAACAAAATTATTCCCGAAAATTCAATTATTTTGAAGCATTTTAATAAAATTCTTTGCAAAATTCAATTATTTTCATTAATAACAATGTTCATCACAAGAATTAAATTATTTTTAAAAGTAATAAATTTCTTCTTGGAAATTAAATTATTTTAAAAAATTCTAATAAAATCGTTCGCAAGAATTCAATTATTTTCATAAAGAATAAAATGTTTTCTACGAATTCAATTATTTAAAAAAAAATTAATAAAATACCACACAGACATTTAATTATTGTCAAAAATTTTAATAAAATTCTTTGTAAAATTTAATTATTTTTAAGAACTTTTCGCAATTCAATGATTTTCAATATCTACTATTTTCATAAAATTTCCAAACAGAATTTAATTATTAAAAAAATTTTGTGTAAAAATCTTCGTAAGAATTCATGGATAATAAAAATTTCTCAGGAATTCAAATATTTAAATTAGAATTTGCATAAAATTAGTCGAAATAAATTAATTATTTAAAAATTTCTATAAAATTCTTCGCAAGAATTAAATTATTTTTAATATTTAAATTATTTCATGAATAATAAAATTCTTTGCAGGAATTCAATTTATTAGCAGTAGGATAAGAAAGAAGTAAATATTTTTTATGAAAATTAGGAAAAAGTGAGGAAAATAAAATATAAAATGTAATTTTTGGCAGTTTTATAAAGTTTCTAAAACGAGTTTTTTTTTGGTCGTCAAGTTTAATTTTTCGATAGCTAATATTTTACTACGTTTTTTAGTTTGAAAGCTACTTTTTGCCACTTTTTTAAAATTAATTATCGAGTGCGAAGTCTGTTCTTTTAATGGTCATCATTTCTACGATTCATAAAATATTCTGGGGATTGACTTTTTCGACTGGATTTTTTTTTTCGTAAATTGTTATGTTAGCCACGTTTTTTTTAATTTTTATTGTTTTAGTAAAAATTTACTGATTCGTCAATTAATTTGAAAATTTTTACACCTCTTTTTTTTCTTGTTAGTGATTGTGAGTGTAAACTTGAATTAAAATTTGACGCGCAGAAATTTCCTTTTTTTTTGTTGTTGTACTCAACAATTGTACTTTTAGTTCCACAAACTGATGTTTCGAAACAGTTGTCGATTTTCGGTAAGCTGAAGTTAATGATTTATTTAACGAAAAAGTAAAATTTTATTTGAAACACACTGTACCGGATATATCGATAAGCCGCGTGTGAGAACCAAACGAAAGAGACAACTACGGAAGAGAGTCGAACGTTTTCACAGATTGGCATTTTAATCAGACACAAATCCCTCTCGAAAAAGTTTTTTATAAATATTTTTCCTAAAATCCATTTGGATAGAAAAATTAGAAATCCATTGTAACTTATTTCTTGATAATTATTTAGAAACAAAAAATATCATTACAATTAATATTTGAAAAGACAGCTTTTCAAATATCAATTGTAATGATATTTTTTGTTTCTAAATATAATTCGTAGCTTTAATTTGACTTTAATTTAATTTTGATGAAAATAAAAATTGTATGGCCCAGTTGAAAAAAAATATAAGAGTTTGAAGAAGTTGACTACTTCGGTAGTATAGAATAATAGTCATAGGTATTTTTTTCGGCATTTATATATTGAAGCACGTGCATCATTTTCTTGGTTTACATCATCTACAAGCAATTGGCTGGGAAATTTCTCCTTTCTTTTCACACACAATCTTCAGAGAGTGAAGATGGTGACACACGATAGGCGACCTGGCTCGTATGGGTTGCATACTAACCACTTCACGAGTCGACACTAAATCTTTGCGAATTATCCTGAAGAAAAGGAGACAGAGAGAGAGAGAGAGAGAGAGGAGAAGAAGAAGAACTTGGTCCTTAGGTCCAGCAGGACTTGTTAAGTATCATGGTGTGTACATATAGGTTCTTCTCTCATGCCTCTGACATGAATTATGCCCCAAGTGTCCTCCTCCCTCTATATAATATGCATCGCGCACAAATTAATTCGTTGGATCGCCCTACGTTGAATTAATTACAAATATAATTTATTGTCCTTATATACGCTATACTCTCGGGTCGAGAGTATATAGCATTTTTCAAGGAAATTTGAGAATTTTTCCATTTACTAACTCCCGATAATTACGTGACAAGTTTTGAGAAAATATTCATTATTTCAGAAAATAGACAACCTCTGAAAATCTGCAATATAAAAAAATATCATGAAGATATAGATATAGTCTTAGTTCCCATTTTGAGAAATCGTTAAAAATTTCAGTTTTTTAAAAAAAATAGTGGGAAAAAATTTAGATAGGAGTTAACTGTTGAAAAGTAGCAGCTGTAAAGGATGGTTGGTATAGGTATACAGGAAAATCGAGCTGGAAATGTCGGGTCATGCGATCTTGAGAAATCGCCATTTCAATGCAATGAACCCCATCGTAATTCACACTTTTAAAATGCATGGAGGGGCTCTTTCCCGATTTCGTGGTCTCCTTTACTTTTATCCAAGAACTTAAGGGATATCCTAGGCCGATAGATAGGATTTTCTTACTTGAAAATACAGCAAATTCAAACAAACGACATCGTACCCCCAACTTTTCTTTTTTACCTCCTCGAAATCGCTTTAAAAATAAAATAGTAATAAATTCACGTAGAATAATTTAGAAATTTTTCACTTTTATTCTTTTAATTTTTTTTCACTTCTATATTTAAAAAAACCGCTGCCAAGTTGTACATTTTTATAATTTTGGTGTTCATTTCATGAACACTTTGCTTCCTCATAGAAATAATAATAATTGAAATATAAGAATTACTTTTTATAAAAGGGTTAAAAATCATTAAATCTTGGTCTAAAAAATGTGTTTTTATATATTCTATAAAATGATAATAATGGTTAATTATTACACATAAATTAATAAACAAGAATGTTAAAAAAATGATATTTTCCACAATTTTGGATTTTTCAAATACCAATAATTTCATAATTTTTGCCCGAATCAGGTTAAAAAATAGGTCAATCGAAGCGTTTTTTAATGCTCTTCAAGTTGGTAACATTTTTTTTAAGTTACTTTTACATAATTTAAAAAAATTTTTATAGAAGTCTTATTTTTCAAAATTTTAGATTTTTAAAAGTTTAATATCTCCGGTTAATATGGACAAAAAATGTTCAATTAGGGCTCAAAAGATGCGTCTGAAAAAACTCTACAAAACTAAAGAAAAAGATTTATAAGTGTCCTAACATTTTTTTAAGTTATGTCCAAAAAACGTTTTTTTACAAAATGAAAAAAATTTATAAATATTTTAGTAAAAACTTCAGTAATTTTTTTTTTAGTAACACAGTAAAAATATTTTTTTTTCTCTAGTAAAAATTTTATAATTGATATTTACTTATCGATAAAATAATTATTTACAATCGACGTCAAATAGTACAACTAATTATAAACATTTATTTACAGGAAAAACATGAGTAATCTCCACCTGTTTCACTGGCACATCAGTAAATATGAGATGTATCCAGAGGATTCAGAATTTGTGGACAAATTGGTAGAGGATTTGGCGAAAAATCAAATTTATCATGTTGGTAAGTCGCCTTTGTTATTAACTAAATACATTTTTTACTTTCTCATAGAGGAAGTATTAATTAATTAATTAATTAATTACTATCGATTGCATGATGAATTTATTGCCTTTCAATATAGTAAACAAATATTTATTGAAATAAGTATTATTAAAGTGAAATAATTTTAATACTGTAATTATTAACCATTAGAAAACTTACATAAAAGTCTATTTACATTTTCAGTGCTAACATAAATTAATTATTATAATTACTAAGAATCCAAACCAATGTAATAGTTTTTTATTATTATTAGATTTACTTTACTTTTTTCCATACAATTCATTACACGTAATTATGCTACACATAATAATTATCATTCAGCAACGTATATTATTTTAAAAGAAAATTCTAAATGCCACTAATTATTTAGAGTATTTCTTCCTCATGAATGCAGGAAGCTTTATATTTTTATTATTGGTCATAATTGCCGGTTTTCTGCAATACTGTTATGTTTTCGACAAACAGGTATAATTTTACATGTATATTGTTCTTTTTTTAATTAATTTATTTTAATAATTTAATTTATAATTTATTTTTTAATTTATTTTTTAATTTAATTTTTTATAAATTATTTTTCATTTGCTTTTTTATTTTTTATTATTCAGGGTTCCCGCAGGTCAGGAAATTCAGGAAAATCGGGGAAAAGTCAGGGATTTTTATTAAAGTACTGGAAAAAATGAAATTTGAAAAATTCATAATTAGTTTTATTTAATTTTTTAATATATATTTGATTAATTAATAAAAATAATGGATTTATAGAAGAATTTTAGTTAAAAACACTAAAAAAATTTGAATTTTAGAGAAGTTACAACTGTTTGCAGAAATTCAATTATGTTCAAAAAATTTTTTAAATTCAATTCAAAATTTCAATTATTTCTAAAAATAATAAAATTCTTCTCCAAAATTCAATTATTTTTATAAATAATAAAAATTTAACAGGAATTCAACTATTTACAAATTTTTTTATAAATTTTTTCGCAATAATTCAATTATTTTCATAAATAATAACATTTTTTTACAGAGATTCAATTATTTTCATAAATAATAAAATTAATTGCAAAATTTCAATTATTTTCAAAAATAATAAAATTGTTTTACAGAGATTCAATTATCTTCATGAATAATAAAACTCATCATAGAATTTCAATTATTTTTAATATTTTAATACAATTTTAACCGAATTATTCTTAAAAATTTTATTAAAACTCGTCGAAAAATTCAATTATTTAAAAATTTGTTGCTAAAGTTTTATTATTTATGATAGTAATTGAATTTTTACAACGAATTTTATTACATTTTTTTAAATAATTGAATTCTTTTTGAGAATTTTTATTAAAAAAGTAGATTTTGAAAATAATTGAAATTTTGCCATGAAGTTAAAAAAAATTCTTTTTAAATAATTGAATATTAAAAGCATTATAGCGTGAAATTTTAGAATTAATTGTATATTTGAATTTTTTTTTAAAATTTATTTCAAGTCTTTATTTTCTAAATATTTAATTGAAGAATTTCTGATTAATCAAAATTTCGTAAAATTGAATTTTAAACAAATAAATTTTGATAATTCTCTAGAAACGTTTGCAAAAATTATTAAAAATAATTGATAATTGTACATTCATTTCTTTCAAAGAATTTTAATAAAAATTTTTGAAATTAATTACTTTTTTCGAAAAATTTACTAAAAATTGTATGAAAAAGAAAATAATTGAAATCCTGTGCCGAATTTTATTTTTTAGGAAAATAATTGAAATCTTGCAACGAATTTTTATTACATTTCTTTTAAAGAATTGAATTCATATACAAAATTTTATTACTTGTAAAAATAATTGAATTCTTGCGATGGATTTTATTACATTTTTTTAAATAATTAAATTCTTTTGAAAAATTTTATTAAAATACATAGTGGGTTTTAAAAATATTTGAATTTTGTCGAAGAATTTCATTATTTGTGAAATGTAATTGAATTCTTGCAGAAAATTTTTGAAAATAATTACATTTTTCGAGGAATTTATTTAAAATTGTATTAAAAATGATTGAAATCCCATGAACAATTTTATTATTAATTTATGGAAATAATTTAATTCTTACAATGAATTTTATTACATTTTTTTAAATAATTGAATTCTTGTAAAGGATTTTAATAAAATTTTTGTAAATAATTTAAATTTTTTTTTTAAATTTTATCGAAATTTAAATTATTAGAAAACATGAAGATAGCGATCACTCCGAATCTTCGACTCGGAATGATCGGTATCTTCAAGTTTTATAATAATATGTATTCCAAAAATTTAATGAATTTCAAAAGGTTTAAATTTAAATTTTTTTATAATCTTAATTCCTATAGAAAAATAATAATAAATGTATTGAATGTTAACACAAAAATATTATATATTACCTTAAACAAAAAAATAAATATATTTTTTTAAATTTTATTTTCTTAAATTAATTAATTTTATTAAATATTTTTTTAATTTAATTTATTAATTTATTTTCACATTTTGCGGTATTGTGCGTGGGATTATTAGCATTACAAGTTTTGATTGAATTCAACATGTTCTTGAAATTAATTAGTGAAATTTTCTTCCTTTTTTTTTGGTGCTTTAAATGGAAAATGTTTGTAACAATGATGATGAGGGGTGTAATAAATTTTCACTAAAGCTAGTAGCGCGTGACTCGTGCTAAGAATTTTTCGCCTCGCAAAAATAATGGATGGTAAGCCTCGGATAGTACGTGCACTTTTATTAAATTTCTCATGCAATTCGTGACGAAACGTGTACTAATTCTTAACGATGCACACAGGATCAGTGTACGAATTCATTATTCGAAGCATTATTCTCCTTTTTTCACTTACATTTTAAATATGCATTATAGAATAACACGAAAATAATTCGCGTCAAAGTATATTTTTTTCCCTCTCGATTTACTTACACAGGAAAAAAAATTTTTTTAACCAAAAAATATGTAGCCAACTAAAATTGAATTAAATTAAATTTTTTTTTAAACTTAATTTAATTTACAATTGAATTAAACGCAATTTTTATTGAATCTTTTATTGAATCTTTTTATTCAATCTTTTTATTAAAATTTTTATTGAAACTTTATGATTTAACGAAAAATTAATTAATAACAATGACAAAGATAAGAGAAAAAAGAGGGAATAAAAGACACAAATAATAAATTTTAAAAAAAGAAAAAAAAATTATGAAAGAAATAAAATAATAAAAAAAAATAATAAGGGAAATAAAATATTAAAGTTGAAAAAAGTACTGGAATAAAAAAACAGGAATAATTTATTATATTGATTGTAATATATTAGTTTTGTGATAATCGGCTTTCGTTAAAATTAATAAATACACTGGGAAATTGGTCATTTCAAACAACTTTGTGAATTAAATATTTTGATTTCATCAAAGATTTATCTGTTTCATAGACAAAAGCTTATAAGTAAATTCATCAATTTTTAATTAGTATAGAGGAAATCTAAATATTCAAGTTTTGGAAAATTAATTATTCAAAGAAATAGAAAATGCATTACATGCATCTACCGGAAACTTGATTATTTTTTCATTCATTCATTATTTTATTCATAATATATTTTTCAATATACGTTCTCCTAAGTTAAACATAAAATTATATAAAAAATGTTATCATAAATTGTTAAAAATCTCATCACAAGAAGAAATAATTCAAAAGAATTTTTTTTATATTTTGCCATCAATTCATAAAAAAAAAGAATTTCATACTGTATTACGATTAATTAAATTAATTTAATTTATTAATTTTTCATTATTTTGTGGAAAATTTTTTTTCTTTCAAAAAAATAACTCGCAGTAATAAAAAAATATTTTACATTAAATTAATAGATTTATGTTAATTTGAAATTTATTGAATAAAAAATATATTAAAATGTTGAATTTGAAGAGGAAAAAAGAAACTTTGTCTTTGATCTTATCCCACAATTGAAAATGACAAAAGTCGATCCAATTCGAGACGCTCAATAATTAAATATCGCTTCCTTGTATTCGAAACAGAAGCTACAATGGGAGCTTGGGAAGATAGTTTGTCCGATGATAGTGAACACAGTAAATAGAATTTCCGGAGTGTATCTCCTAAGCGCCTTGCTCTCTCAGAGAACCAGCTTGATACTTGTGAAGCGTATATTAAACCCGCAAACTTGGAACCCGTTAATTCTTCAACGGTTAATTCTCTTTGATTACAACATATTTTATTACACGCATAACATCATATATTATTGCATAATAACACATGTATAATTGCACTCAAAATTATTTTACTATTCAAATTTATACTCTCTGAATTTTAATTAGTCACTGATTTTTTGCTTTTGAATTAGTAAATTTTACTATTAAATTAGTAGAAACGAGTAAAATCTACTAATTCAAAAGCAAAAAGTCACTAATTAGAATTAGTAAACATTTTTACTAATTCAAATTTAGAAAATATATTTAATATTTTACTATAAAAAAATAGATACGAAAATAAAACAAAAAGAAAATATTTTAATTTTTTTCATGGAAAATAAACTTTTGGTTTTAAATAAATTTACAGATGAGAAAAGCGGTGGAACGCAGTTGAAATTGATCATTAATTACGGGAACGATACACAGGCACTTTTCAAACCCATGAGGTAAGTCCAAGTATTTTTTTATAATTAAAAAATTATTAATTTTAATTATTACTATAGTAAATATAACGCGCGCAACGAAGTTTCCTGTTTATTGTTGTTAAGCAAATTACAAACTTTTTTATTTTCAAATACAAATCAATGTATTTCGAAAAATATCAAATTAAAAAATTTTTAAAATTCAATTATTAACTAATTAATTATTATATTATATTAAAATTTTTAATGAAATTCTTCTTAACTATACAATTATTAATTTCAAATTTTTTGATAAAATTTTTAAAAGAATTCAAATAATTTAAAAAGTTGAATAAAATTCTTCGCAAAAATTCAATTATTTTCATAAATAATAAAATTCTTCGCAATAATTCAATTATTTCTATGAAAAATAAAATCCTTTACAAGAATTCAATTATTTTTTATAATTTTGATAACATTTTTCAAAGAAATTGAATTATTTTTAATATTTTAATAAAATTATTCTCAAGAATTCAATTATTTCTGAAAAAATGAAATTTTTCGTCGGAATTCAATTATTTTTATATGAATAATAAAATTCTTGTCAGTAATTTAATTATTTTGAATACAATTTTTATAAAAGTTCTCAAAAGAATTCAATTATTTTCATAAATATTACAATTCTTCGCAATAATTCAATTATATCTATTAAAAATAAAATTCCTTACAAGAATTCAATTATTTTCATAAATAATAAAAATCCTCCCAAGAATTCAATTATTTTTCATAGATAATAAAAATCCTCCCAAGAATTCAATTATTTTCATAGATAATAAAAATCCTCCCAAGAATTCAATTATTTTCATAAATAATAAAAATCCTCCCAAGAATTCAATTATTTTGAAATATTGATACAATTTTTCGAAGAAATTGAATTATTTTTAAGTTTTTAATAAAATTCTTTTCAAGAATTCAATTATTTCTAGAAAATAATAAAATTCTTAGCAGGAATTAAATTATTTTCAAATAAATTATTTGAATTTATTGATAAAAAATTCTTTGCAACAATTCAATTATTTTCAAATCTGTGAATAAAATTATTTACAATCGAATTCAATTATTTCTATAAAAAATAAAATTCTTTGCAGAAATTTAATTATTTTTATAAATAATAAAATTCTTGACAGCAATTTAATTATTTTCAATACAATTTTAATAAAATTCTTCATAAGAATTCAATTATTTTCATAAATAATAAAATTCTTCCCAAGAATTCAATTATTTCTATGAAAAATAAAATTCTTTGCAAGAATTCAATTATTTTCATGAACAATAATAATCGTCCGAAATAAAATTCTTTGCAGAAATTCAATTATTTTCATAAATAATAAAAATCCTCCCAAGAATTCAATTATTTTGAAATATTGATACAATTTTTCGAAGAAATTGAATTATTTTTAAGTTTTTAATAAAATTCTTTTCAAGAATTCAATTATTTCTAGAAAATAATAAAATTCTTAGCAGGAATTAAATTATTTTCAAATAAATTATTTGAATTTATTGATAAAAAATTCTTTGCAACAATTCAATTATTTTCAAATCTGTGAATAAAATTATTTACAATCGAATTCAATTATTTCTATAAAAAATAAAATTCTTTGCAGAAATTTAATTATTTTTATAAATAATAAAATTCTTGACAGCAATTTAATTATTTTCAATACAATTTTAATAAAATTCTTCATAAGAATTCAATTATTTTCATAAATAATAAAATTCTTCCCAAGAATTCAATTATTTCTATGAAAAATAAAATTCTTTGCAAGAATTCAATTATTTTCATGAACAATAATAATCGTCCGAAATAAAATTCTTTGCAGAAATTCAATTATTTTCATAAATAATAAAAATCCTCCCAAGAATTCAATTATTTTGAAATATTGATACAATTTTTCGAAGAAATTGAATTATTTTTAAGTTTTTAATAAAATTCTTTTCAAGAATTCAATTATTTCTAGAAAATAATAAAATTCTTAGCAGGAATTAAATTATTTTCAAATAAATTATTTGAATTTATTGATAAAAAATTCTTTGCAACAATTCAATTATTTTCAAATCTGTGAATAAAATTATTTACAATCGAATTCAATTATTTCTATAAAAAATAAAATTCTTTGCAGAAATTTAATTATTTTTATAAATAATAAAATTCTTGACAGCAATTTAATTATTTTCAATACAATTTTAATAAAATTCTTCATAAGAATTCAATTATTTTCATAAATAATAAAATTCTTCCCAAGAATTCAATTATTTCTATGAAAAATAAAATTCTTTGCAAGAATTCAATTATTTTCATGAACAATAATAATCGTCCGAAATAAAATTCTTTGCAGAAATTCAATTATTTTCATAAATAATAAAAATCCTCCCAAGAATTCAATTATTTTGAAATATTGATACAATTTTTCGAAGAAATTGAATTATTTTTAAGTTTTTAATAAAATTCTTTTCAAGAATTCAATTATTTCTAGAAAATAATAAAATTCTTAGCAGGAATTAAATTATTTTCAAATAAATTATTTGAATTTATTGATATAAAATTCTTTGCAACAATTCAATTATTTTCAAATCTGTGAATAAAATTATTTACAATCGAATTCAATTATTTCTATAAAAAATAAAATTCTTTGCAGAAATTTAATTATTTTTATAAATAATAAAATTCTTGACAGCAATTTAATTATTTTCAATACAATTTTAATAAAATTCTTCATAAGAATTCAATTATTTTCATAAATAATAAAATTCTTCCCAAGAATTCAATTATTTCTATGAAAAATAAAATTCTTTGCAAGAATTCAATTATTTTCATGAACAATAATAATCGTCCGAAATAAAATTCTTTGCAGAAATTCAATTATTTTTGTAAATGATAAAATTCTCCATTGAAATTCAATTACTTTCAATATAATTAAAAAAATTTCTCGAAAAAATTTAATTAATTGTAAAAATTTTAGTAAAGTTTTACCGAAAAAATTCAATTAGGTATTTATAAAAATTTTAGTTAAATTCTGTACAAGAATTAAATTAGTTTTAGTACAATTTTTATGCAATTTCTTCAAAAATAGAATATTTATTCAAAAATTTTAATAAAAATTATTGTTCTAGCAAATTAATAATAATAAATAATATTTTTATTAACAATTGTTAATAAACAAAATATAAAGTTCGCCCAAAAAATAATTTTTCATCTCGTGCTGATTATCGGTTGTGGCTAGGCTACTTTTTATTAATTGTGAATTAAATTTATTTTGAAGACCCAGATTACAATTATTAATAAACACGATTATTTTTAAATCTTTAAAGGAAATTTTTCGTAAAAATTAATTATTTTCAAAATTTTTAATTAATAGGTATGTATTATAAAAACTACATTATTTTAAAAAAATTAAAAACAGTTCTTCAAAAGAATTTAATTATTTTTGAAAAGTTAAATAAAATTCTTGAAAAGAATTCGAATCTTATTTTCAGTAATAATAAAATTCTTTGGAGGAATTCAATTATTTTCAATATAATTTTTACAAAATTTCGCGAGCGAATTAAATTTAAAAAATAATGATAAAATTATTAATAAGAATTTATTTATTTTGAATACATGAATTAAAAAATTTGAAATCTTATTTGAATAGAAAAATCATCAAAAATAAAAATATTTTTTATATTAAAGGGATAAAAAATATTTTCCAATTTCTTCTTATAAAGACGAATAGAAATACAGAAACAATTGAATTCAAAATTCGAAATAAGTTATACGATTACTCTTTCCATAAAGTATTTTGAAAGGAGAAGAGAAGATTTTCAGTGTAAAACTTGAAATATATTTGCTCCTTGGAAAATTGAAAATGATGGTTGAGTGCAACAGTATGTACAATTTTCTACTTATTCATTGTCGAACAGAAATGGTATTTCTCCAATTATTCACTAAACTTGGGAGTCATTACCAGAATTGTTGTGTATTCAAGATTTAATGGCGTTTAAAAAGCAGGAGGTAGATGGCAATTATTGTAGCTTTAGAGCGAGCAGAATGTGCATTTGCGAAGAGAAGTTAACGAGAAAGTTTTGGTATCGCAGTTTCGCAGGACCTAGAAACTTACTTAAACAATTAGTCTGTTACATGTTGAGCGAAATAATTCTAAACGTATTTTTAAAACTCCCTACCATATTCAATTTAATTCCCTTATCCTTTCCACGCCTCCATTTTTTATTCAATGGAAACTTTGAGTCAAATTTTTTATTTTCATTTATTAGAATTAGGGATAAAATTCTTCGCAAGAATTAAATATTATTTTCAATAATAATAAAATTTATTCTTCTCAGGAATTCAATTATTTTTAAATACAATTTTACTCAATTTTCTTGAAAGAATTTAATTATTTTCATAAATAATAAAAATCCTCTCTAGAATTCAAGTATTTTTAAACATTTTAATAAAATTATTCGCCAGAAATAGAATTATTTTTAATTTTTTAATCAAATTCTTCACAAGAATTTGATTATTTCTACAAAAAATAAAATTCTTCGCCGAAATTCAATTATTTTTATAAATAATAAAATTCTTGGCAGGAATTAAATTATTTTCAATACAATTTTTATGAAATTTCTCAAAAGAATTCAATTATTTTCATAAGTATTAAACTTTTCAGCAAGAATTCAATTATTTTTATGAAAAATAAAATTCCTTACAAGAATTCAATTATTTTCATAAATAATAAAAATGCTCCCGAGAATTCAATTATTTTTATAAATTATGATACAATTTCTCGAAGAAATTGAATGATTTTCAATTTTTTAATAAAATTCTTCTCAAGAATTCAATTATTTCTAAAAAAAAATATAATTCTCTGCAGAAATTCAATTATTTTTATAAATAATAACATTTTTGGCAGGAACTAAATTATTTATTAATATTTTAATAAAATTCCTTCAATGAATTCAATTATTTAAAAAAATTGCAATAAAATTCTGAGAAGAATTAAATTTCT